AGCATTGGAACAGGCTGCTCAGGGAAGTGGTTGAGTCACCATCCCTGGAGGTATTTAAAAGATGTGTAGATGTGGCACTTGAGGACATGGTTTAGTGGTGGACTTGGCAATGTTAGGTTTATGGTTGGACTCGATGATCTTAAAGGTCTCTTCCAACCTAAATGATTCTATGATTCTAAAAACCCGTATCATTCATCTACTGTTCTTGTCTGACAGAATTTTAAACTCCAATGAAATCCTAGAAAGAGATTTTGCATCTCAGTGTTACTTAAGTCATGGCTAGTGAAAAGTCTGTGACAGAGCTTTGAAACTAATGAATTATTTTTTTTAATATCAACATTAAACTTCAAACATTAAAGAAAGAAAAGATCAAGGGAGATAAAAAGTTTTTAATATCTCTTTTGTTTACTAAGACAGTACTCACAGAATGTTCCGGTATTGTTGCATTTTAACTCAAAATTTAAAGTGGTTGTTTTTGTGATTATCCATTAACTGCAATGAATCTGAACAGGATGCCTGTACCTTACAGGGTGGATTACAATAGTAGGATTTTTTTCCCCTCGTGACATTTTCTGAGATTTAAGACAAATAAGTAAATATTTTCTTTAAAATCCACAAGTTAAAAAAAAAAAATTAGAACAAAGGAACCTGGTGTCCAAATATTCATTTATTGTGGTCCTAACAAGGATGAAAAGTCTTTTAAATCCTTTTTTGTTCTCTATACTGGCCCAGGTATGGAATAATTACGAATTGATAAATAATTATAATTGGAATGATGTGTCACTCTAGCACTGACTAAATTTAATTGCTAATCAGTTATTGATGTTGCTTTTTTGTTAACATTTTAGTAATCTGTTTGCATCTGTCTTTTACCACTGTTTTTTGCCTTGAGAAGCCTACCAAATTTACCAGTTATATTTCTCACACTACTATATTATAAGTATCTTTCATTATTAGGTAGAAAGGCCCTGTTAGTCTTAACATCAGGTGGGAAGGGATGGCTGAAACCTGACTTTCAAAATCTACTGCTTTCATAACTGACAAGATATCTATGAGGCAAAAATAGTAGGTGTCTTGAAATAACTCTTGAAAAAAAACATTGTGTTTCCCTCTGGTTCAAAAGTAACCTGGAAATATTTGATATCTTCTTTTACTGGTCCTTTTTTTATGTTCTAATGATAAAAAATGTTTCCTGGCATATACATACTTTCTCCCACCTCCTTTTCTTCTGGTGTTGCTACTTCTTTTTTTCCAGGACTGATATGCTAATTTAAAACATGGTTTTTTTCTCTGCGTGGCTTTAATTTTTTTTCTCATTAGTTTCCTTTTCTAGTTTTGACTAATGTACACTTAAAATAAATTAGAAAATTGACATGAAAAATCAGCCTCTTTGAAGAAAAAAAAACAGATCAAGAGCTACGCTTAGAATCTTAGAATCATTGCCGACTGGAACTCCTGATATCATCTAGCCCAACCTCCTGACCCTGTTAAAGCAAGTTGCTCAGGACTTTGCCAAGTTAAATTTTGAGTATCTCAAAGGACAGAGATCTAGTACCTGTCTGGTCAACCTGTTCCAATGTTTGATCACCCTCGTAATAAAAACTTTTTCCTTACAGAGCTGGGGTTTCCCATGTTCCAACTTGTGTCTGTTGGCTGTCCTCCTTCTGCTGTGGTTCTTCACCTCTGGTTCTGTCTTTTCCACACCCTCTTATTAGGTGGCAATAAGATCCCCTCAGAGCCTCCTCTTCTGAAGGTTGAACAGATCACTTCTTTCAGCCTCTTCTGTGTCATGTGCTCCAATGCCCTGAAGCTCTTTGTAGCCCTCCACTGGACCTGCTCCAGAATGTCAATATCAGTGTGCTGGAGAGGCCAAAACTGGACACAGTATTCCAGATGCCATCTCATAGGTGTCGAATAGAGAAAGCATGAAACTTCCCTGGATCTACTTGACTGCATTCTTGCTAATACAGGCCAGGGTGCAGTTGGCATTCTTTGCTGCAAAGACACAGCTTGGCTGGCTCGTATTATTTTTGTCAAACAGGACCAGCTCTTTTTCTGCAAGGCTGCTTGTGGCCAGTCAACCCCCAGCCTGTAGTGCTACTTGGGGCTATTCCTGGGCCGATGCAGGACTTTGCATTTGCTTTTGTTGAACTTCATGAGGTTTCCGTCAGCCCATTTTTCAACCGTGTGAATAACAGCCCTGCTTTCAGTGCATCAACTGCTCCCCACAAGTCGATATCAGTTACAAATTTGCTATGGTGTTTATAATATAAAAGCTGCTTAATGGTTATTTCATTGTCAACTATAAGACATTCATGAAAATTTTAAAGTATGATTCTATATTTATCCCATATAAATGGATAATAGAAAATTTGCAAGTAAATTTAGGGTGTTTCTTCTTCGATAAAGATTTAGCAACTCACAGATTTTTTTAAAACCCTTTTATTTGCTTTAACAAAAGTTAGTAAAACATGGAAATGTTTTAGTTAGGTCTTTTGAAAGATGTCAATAAGAATTAGTTATCTGGTATTGGATTAGCTGAGAAACCTACAGGACATCTTGAACGAACACAGTAATCCAGTCCCTTCTAAATCCTGTATTTTTGAATGTCCACAGTGTTATATTGGATATATTTGGATCTACAAAATACAATATTTTGACACCATTTAGCTTCTAAAATTAAGACTATTAAGTTACTTAATTTCTGAATCCCATTCAGTTTTGCATTGCATTTTCTTGTATATGTATAGAATAAGATAATATAGACAAGATTTGCATTTTGCTTTCAGGTACTTTTGAACTAACAGATTCTGAAAGACGCGCTACTGGTACCATCACAGTTGAATTAAAATGGAAGTTTGTCTACCTACCACCAAGTGGATCAACAATGGCTGCACACGTAGTGAATTACATTCAAAATGAGAAGTCAGCGGCAACTAAATTACAAGCAGAGGAAAAAACGCAGACTCCAGCCCTGTCTCCTTCTTTTACTCCATCAGTGACAGTAAGTAATTTAACAAACTCACAGAAGTTGAGATATAAAAGACCTATTACAGTAGGTTGTTTAGTTCTTCCCTGATGACCAGGATTTGTCCTTACTGTAAAATAATGCGTAGTACAAACACTTCATATAACCACCATCTTTGACTTCCTTTGGGAAGTGAAATCTTTCTTGTGTCCAAAACTTTAAAAAGTCTTTTATAATGGTAGATAACTGGTTAGCAAAAGGGCAGGGAGAAAAGGGAGGAGAAATAACAAACATTAAATGTCTTCCCTATGAATTTAGTACTTGCTAATTCTCTTTCCAATGTAGATGTCCTACATAAAGTGTAGTCACATGCTTGTGCAACTTCAGGGCAAGGGTTGACATTTATGACAGTCATGAAATCAGCTATTGTTTCTGTGGTCTCAAACTCAGACAGAACTCAGTCAGTTGGGGTAGCTTTGAGCCAAAAGAATTTTCAAGCAGCCAGACGCAAGCCATATGTATGGATACGTAGGTGTATCTGCACCACACTCTGTTATTCTGGTGCCTGGAGCATGGTGCTAAGATACCCAATAGCTTCTTAAAAATCACTCACATAAATTAAAAGTAGTGTAAGGATTTTTTTTTTTTGTGTATAAAAATCAGTGGAGATTGAGGTTAATTTCTACCTTCATCAAGAGAGTAAAGCTTGAAGAGTAATAAACTGCTTTTTCTTTATTATTTTTTGTCTTTTGTATTATAACATCATGGCAGAAATATTTCTGTGTAATTTTGTTAATTTTGCAACTATTACCAGTCTCTTTTCTGCTTCTGTGTTAAAATTCTCCAAAGGGAGTGGCATGAGGAAAGGTGTCAAAGATACGGTAAGCCTACAGAACAAGAAAAGAAATCAAGCACTCCATAAACGATAATAAGAAATCATTCTGCCACATATATGATACCACTGACTTCAGTCCTACAAATATCTTTCACCTGGAACTCACATTGCATTCCATAGATGTTCTGTACAGTTTCATACCTATTTGTGGCTGAATTCTGAAAGGTATCTCCATTTGGTGTGGGGGGGCGGATTGCTTATTCAAACAACATCTATGTCATCTTGCCTGTTTAGAATTGAATTTAGTGCAGTTAGTTTGGCTTTGAGAAAAATTAGGGTGTCTCAAAATTTACTGTAAAATAAGATGGTTAGAATATGGCGATAAATGGTCTTCAACTATATTTGTTTTATTACAGAAACCAACACCCAAGCCAAGGCAGCGTGCAGCTCAAGCAGACAAGAAACTATCTTTTCTGGATCTTAGTACAATACAAATGGCAGTAAGTTTTAAGTATTTTGCTCGTGCATGTTGAAGCAAGAAAGGCTGCTTATGTCTCAGTGTGGACAATTTGTAGAACTAATAATGGAAAACACTCCATTATTTTAGCAGCACAAGACTGGGATGTCCCAGGCGATGAATGGTAGCACAGTACTACATATAGGTAGGGGATACAATACAGGGATATTTGTGTGACTCCCTTAGAATTGCTTGCTATCCTCCACAGTTTACAAGCTTCAACTTTCATAGACTTAGGACAGATTTTAACAGGATCAATCAACTGTCTCTGCACTGTTTCTCTCAGCTCTCTAGGTTATTAATTAAAGTGTCTTTGTACAGTGTACCACTTGCGCAGACATATAAATGGCTCTACAGAAACCAGCTTGATCCAAACAGATCCTGGTGTTGCGCTAATGAGATACACAATTTCACACAGTTCAGAGCCACCTCTCAAACAAGTTTTATCAGCTGAGATTACAAACACTGTGAAAACAATTACACTTCTGAACTTGGGATGCACTATTGTGTACATCCTTCCAGACTCTAGGAGTGTCTGCTTGGAACTAACTCAAACGTATCTGCTGTATGGTGTAAATTTTCATTTGATCTTAAATAATCTGCCTTCAGACAACTAAGAATAGGCTGTATTTACTCTTTTAATTAAATCCAGTAAGTTAAGGTAGGTTCTTTAACTGCTAATTATAAAAGGTATAAATATTATTATTAATAATATTATGTTGCATTAATTAATTAAAAACTAGCTGTGGTGAATTTTTTCCATTTGTAAATGCCTTGATTGGATTTATTTTTTGAAATATTAACATCAGTTTTCAATTCACAGGTGGTTCTGCTATTATTTAGTTTACCATGACTAAAACTTTGTTTTGAGTCATACAGTATAGGCTGGAAAAAAGAATTAAGTCGATCTCTTGTATTTATTAACTTAAAAAAAAAAAGTCAAATGTTTGTGAAATCAAATCTTTTGAGAGCTTAGGTATGGCAAACTGAAATGTTAGCCATATTGTTACACACACAACATATCTTCAGCTGTCCAAACAGTAACATCTCAAAGTTCAACAATTGTTCACAAACTAGGTTTTTCTAAGGTAGACAGCTACTCTGTCTCCATCAGAAGTCTTCATTGCTGGATGTTTTAAAAATCCAAGTCTCACTGACTGGTTAGAGACAAAAGTACTGTTAGAACTAAATAATGAAACAGCTGGGGCTTCTCTGATGTCTCAGTCTTGTGGTGACATGGCAAGAGAGTGTCCATGCAAAAGAGTTAGAAGTTCAACAGATTAAAACTGTACAGGAACAGTCTGTTTCATTTTCCTGTTCATTTTCTGAATAGCAGAGAATCTAGTTCTTTGGCATGTGTCACATTAATACCGAAGTAAATGGTTGTTTTCAGAAAAGGAGACTCACTAAAAAGTGGGATGAATGATTTGAGTTGCCCAAACCATTTCTAAGAATTGTCCAGCTTCAAAGGTAGAAGCTATAGCAGAGGATAGAAGCAGTAATGCTAATGCAGGGAAGCAAAGGAGGACATAATTTCCTGTCCAAATGCTTCTCCACCAGTAAATTTATACCTACCTTTTTGTGTTAATTGTCTACTGTATGTTAAAGGCTTCCCCTTATTTTACCCATAACTTAGGGCTCTGTTGTTGAAAGTAACATGGAACTTGCACAGAAGATGAAGGCTTCAAGAGTTCCAAGTGTTTCAGAGGTATGAGATTATACAGGTTTTGTGGGTTTATATAATATATTGCATTTGAATTCCACGTGTATGTTATTTCTTCAGAGTCATGCATCAAAAATCAAACTACGGTAAAGTAAGATCTCAAAAACTTCTCTGAAATATGAAAAAAGTGATTCGTTGTGATGACAGTCTTTTTTTGGCCATTAGAAAGGGAGGAATATCTCTACTTATTTCCTTCTATGTTTGGATGAAGTTTATTTTGTCTTCCCTCTAAAAATTACCACTATATAGCGGGGGGAAATGAAGAAGAAATGGAGTAAGTTTGGAATATTGCTAAATATGTAGCATTCCAAGGAGAAGAAAAGTATTAAATATTGTAATTTGTAATGGTCCAATTGGTTGTGAAAGTAAGCTGTGGCAGATTGGCAAACTGTACTTTTTAGTGGTGTAACACACCATTTAATCACTGGCTCTTATCTTCCTTTCACTTTTCTACTTTAAAGCTCATCTGGGGCTTTGATTGAGAAGTTAAGTCTCCCTTCCACCACATCAGGTGGTATTGGTCAAGTAGAATAATCAAAAAGTATTCCCTCTCTGAAAATTTTATCCACAAAGTGTAACTCTGTCACTGAAGGAATTAAAAAGACTGGCCAAACATTGTCTAAAGTACAGTGGTTATGACACATCATCTATGCCAAGGAGGAGCATAAGAGACATAAAGCCAGTTTTCTACGACTTGAAAACTTCAAGGATAACCTTTATTTATAGAATAAGGCTCTTAAGTGCTTGTTAACATTGCTTTGCTTTGTGTGGCTCCAAATGTGTTAGAATAGAAATAACTCTTCAGGTCCAGTTTTGGAAAACCCAGATATTCTGTGGCCAGCTGAAAGTTATCTCGCGGACTCTGAGGGTGGGAGGTGAAGCATCAGTGTCTCTGGAAAATTCAGTCCTAGAGGAGAATTGTTGGGTGATAAATAATGCATAGGTCTCCAGCAAATTTCCATGGAAGATGACATGTCTGTAATGTTATATCCATTGATGAGGTATTATTCTATGTAATTGTACTCAAAGAGAAAGAAGGGAATAAGATTACTTCAGAGTAAGTTATGCACTAAAGATATTTTACCTTAGATAACATGTTTGTATTTTGTAGCAAAGCCGATTCTTTTTAATATGATTTTAGTTTGCTTTTAAAACAGAAAATATCGTATAATTTAAGTTAGAAAATTGCCAAGGGAGTAAGGTGGTGGGGGGGTTTTGTTTGTTTGTTTTTGTTTGTTGTGGTTTGTTTTGGTTTTTTTGAACTGAGTCTTTTAGAACTGAAAGAGCTGAAATATAAATGAATCTGGAAATCTAATAGGCTGTATATATCTTGACAGGTACCAAATTATTATAATAGTTATGTTTTCACAAATGTACATTGTTAGAGAATTGTCTTTCTACTGTATCAATTATTTGTTACTGCAGTTGACAACTTCTCATTGTTTCCTGCACTGCATAAGCAATATAATTGTTTAAAGGCTATGTATAATGAATGTGAGCCATAACTCTTCAAGTTTTGAACTTTAGTAACTTTTACTAGTCAAGGAGTGTTATAAAGACTGTAAGTTTATCTATTTTTATATAGCGTGTAGTACATGAGGTTAAACAAGAAAGGCTAGCAGATGATAAGGTGAAGGAGATGGCTGAAGAAATTCAACAGGAAAAGGAAGACCTCTCACATCTGTCAGAGGGGCAGTTGGCCGACCAAAGCTCAGCTACCTCTGGAGATGATACAGAAATAACTGAAGAATTGGAACCAGAAGGTAGAATTCATTTTTATGAATAAGTAACTATTTTCTTAATAATAAATCTGTCTTTTTCCGTTTTCTTAAGCATTTCTTACTAGCAGTGGGAGCTGCCTTATTATGAGAAGCTTCATGACAGAAATGATATTCTGGTGTACTTCACAGCTGAAGCTGGGTGGTGGATATGGTGGTGTTATCTTCTTCCCAAATGGAAACTGTATTATAATTGAATGCAAAAATCTGGTATCTGACCTAGATTCATAAAATATTAAAGGAAACCTGGCTTCTATTTTAAATGTCTTTATATTCTCCCTTAGAACTATGCTGTTCTAAAGACTATTTTAATGAATATACTCCTTTTGTCTTTAGATAACAGCCAATGCTGATATCGGAAATCCTTTCAGACGGTGAGAGGGGTAGTACGTCTTATCACATCTGTGACATAAAGTTGTTAGAGGCAGATTTATTTAAAGATTGTAAAAGCCGGGTCATCCTGTTCCACCTCCGAGCCTGAACTGTTTATCATTGAAATAAACCAAGTCCATGATACCAAGTTTGACGTAAAAGCACAAGCAGGATGCTAAAATTTTATATTCAGTTGTTTGCAGCTTCTGCATAAGAATTCATTAGAAAAATTGGAAAAACATGATGTTGAATCCCTGTTGTGTTTATAAGTAACTTGCTCCAGAGAAAAAAAAAAGACCTGAATGCTTTAGAAAATAGTCCACCTGAATACAGAACTAATTTTTTTTTTTTTTAAAAAGTACATTCTTCTTTACATGTGCATTGTGTTAAATATAGTCAGAGGAAATCCACAAATTCAGGCCATATTCTTATATAAAGCTAACTGTTGTTCATACTTTAGTTCATCACAGGACTTATATCATCTCACTCATCAACTTTCATCTGGGAAACATTACTATTTTTTTAGCAAATCGGAAAAAAATACAGTTTAGATTACTTTAAAGGTCATTGATTTGCCAGCGTTAATCTTCTCCAAGGAAGAGAGATTTACATGGCACTTATACTTTATTTATTAGAAAAGCAAACATTGCTATCAGGTTTCTCAGCGAGTCTCAGATGGACTACAAATACCGGGGTTTTTAACTACATTGATTTTTTTCTTTTTTTTTTTTTTTTTCCCCCAGATCAAGATGATGGACAAGAAAATGATGCCATTGAATCAATAACAACTGACAGCGATGACTGTATTGTTTCAAGTCCAGTATCCAAGAATATTAAACAGGTGAGTCAGAGTATTTATGGCAATTATTTGGTAAGTCTAAGAAAAATATTTTAAGCCTAATGTTCTTCTAAAAGTAGCTTTGCTATATCTAAGGTCAGATTCTAAGGCATTTTCAACAAATGTATGTTTTCCTCTTTCCAGTTCAAATAGACACCTTTTCACAGAAAAAAAGAAAAGTTAACCTGACCGTATTGTGCATGTGATTTACAGGTGGTTTTTTAATGGGGAAATTTGTTGTCATCTTTTCCATTATTGTCATACACACTTAGAAGTAGACATTTCTAATTAGTTTCAATCTGAATTCAAATTTTAGTCCTGCACAAAATCTCCCTAACGGAAGATAACTATTGTAATGTGAACTTAGTCTTGTTCAGTCCTACCTGTTGCCTTTATGTGGGAAAATGTGCTTTTCTGCTTCTTCCAGTGCTTTCTGAGGAAGGGGAGGATAATTTCACTTGTCAAGGCCTGTAGTAAATCTACAATGCTTAGCTACCCACTGTTGTTTCATCCCAGTATGTTGACTTGATTGAATGTTGTTGAAATGGCAATTGCATAAGCTTGAGGTTGTTAATAACATGCAAACCTTGCATGTATTTTCTGGGACATCCGCACAGGCTTCTTTTTGTTCCTGACTTCCCAACAGTTTTAGAACTGAACATCAGTTTTCAATAAAGTTTGTAGATGTACAGTATCCAATCACTCAGTGTACTTTTTCTATTCTTATTTGTGGTCATGTACAGTAATGATATTCTCTTGACTTGTTCTTAAAACCAGCAATTAATGAGTATAAAGTCATATATACAAAATAACACAGCATAATACAAATTTGGAAAATTTACTTTGAACACTATTTCAATAGTATAGTTCTCTCAAAAAATAAGAATATTTCATACTTTTAGATCTAACATTGACTGAACAATCTTAAAAAATATAAAACTAGCACTTAAAATTGATTATAATACTTCTAATAGTTAATACTTCTCTGGTCTGTCTTAGCCTCCTTTTAAAGGACCAGGGGTGTACTGTTATATCCTATCAGTCTTAACTTTTTTTTAATGTTCTGCAATGTGAGAACCTAGAGGTAGTTTGATGATGATTTTTTTTTTTAATCCTTTTTTCAAGGCTGAGTGACATCTTACAAAGTAACTAGCAATAAGAAGCAATGCTTCATATGAGAAATGTTGCTCCTTTTTTTTTTTTTTTTTACGTTGTAGAAGAGATTTAGAAATGCTATCACATATATGCTGCAGAAAGATAGAGAAGGTACTTTTGGAGACAGAATTGCATTGTTTATATGCAAAATGTTAAATTGTTTCACCTGTAATTTTGAGAACTAAAATGACTGCTACTTGTCACCATTAAGTCAAACTATAATACAGTTGATCTATAAATTTCTAGTCATCCTGTATTTTATTTTATCAAAATTATTTAAGAACACTTCTGAGAGGATTTTGAGTATCGATTCATTTCAGGTTCATTAATTTCTACCTCTCTCCATTGATCTGTTCCTCTGGTAACAAAGTGCATGTTCAAGAAGGGTAGATAAGACAACAAAAGCTGTAAACTATTAAGGCAACATATTTGATACAAATCGGATTTTAAAAGTAGGCATTGGTATATTTGAAATCTTGGGTTAATTATAGAATACAGCATGTGAAAATTGTGATTGAATTTGGTTTTTTTATGATTAAAAATCACTGCCTTTTATCTTTTGAGATAAATATCCTGCTGGTAATCAAACACTGTAAATAAGACTTGTGATTTTTAGAGATCGTTATGCTAATTATCCTATAAATCTGAGTTGTATGCCAAACTGTTTAAGCCATTTAAGATCATACTGTTTCTTTTTTGCATGTTGCAAATTAGACAGTTCATGGTTATTTCTTAGATATGTTCATCATGAAGGGTATCTAAGAGATTTTCCAGTACTTAGCTGTACCACTTGCTTCTTTCTCTTTTCTTCTTGTCTATGATGTATAATTAATCATAGATTACTTCATTTTGTTTCATTTCATTTACAACATTTATGAGCTTCACTTTGTCGGTATGAAATGCTTGTCCCCTTCTTTCCTTTCCAAAGTGGCGTAATTAGTGTTAGCATCTTTTTTAACAGGCTACATAAAGTTTAGTGGCTGGATTAAATCAAGTCATTAACATAATGTGCTATACAATTTGCCCCTATCTCTTTTCGTTCCCAGTACATCAAAGTGCCACAGAGTGCCAGTGTAATTGGGCCTTGCTAGCTTGTCAGGTTCAGTCAGGCTGATGGCTGCTGCTTTTACTAAAAAGCTTCCAGGCATGATAATTAATAGAGAAAAGAAGTCTGAGAAATGTAAAAGTTTGGACAGTTCTCTATGAATATTTCATACATTTGAATAATCAGAAGTTAACATTATCAATTTGATGTATAATACATTGATTAAAAGACTTGTTTCAGATCCTCAAAATAGACATCAAAACTGGGAATTTGCATTTTCTTTGGCATGGTCTTTATATTTTAAAAAAAATATATTTAAAAAAAAAAAATCTTTTCTCTTCCATCCCCTCCTCCCTTTCACCCCCATGTCTACACTTTATCCTTACAGGAGATAATATAGCATTCAATTATCACAATAAAATTTACTGCTGTCAGCTTCCAAGTTGTCTTAAAATGTGTCCATAAGGCAATTACTGGCAAAACCAATTTATTCGGTGGTGGTCCTGTTTTTTCTATAGGTGTGTTTACGTCTCTCTTTTTTTTGTTGCAGATACTGTGAGTGCATTATCTTGCGCTAATAGCAGTTTATTGAAAACTGTCATTATCAGTTCCTGTAAATTAAGATCTCGGCGTCTAATGAATTTTGACATGAAAATCTCTCTTAAACACTGTTAAAAAGCAATACCAATTGCTCGTGGTTCTGCTAGTCAATGAAATGTGTTTGTGCAAAGGTGGAAAGATGTAAAGCATAAAGCCTATGTATAGCAAAGCGATAAATGCTTTTCCTTATACTATGCCTTTTTTGTACAGTTACTTGAATAGTGCATTTCCTCCTTTGAGATATCTGCATTCATTGAAAAAAAGAAAGCCATTTGGACATTGTATTGCAATTTTAAATTTTGGCTGTCTTGATTTCTCTTTACATTTATTTTCTGCAGGACTTGAGTACCTTTGGTGTACTTCAGGGAGATTTCTGAGTGCTCAATGCTTTTCTTAAACTGGCTTCTGTGAACATCTAATCTGAATTTAGGGAACTAATATTTTAGGTTTTTCATATTACCCCATGTTGCTGAGTTGGCTTGATTCTACTGTGACAGAAATACTAACCCTTTGTATTGTCTTAGTCTTGTCTAGCTCTAACCTTAGTTGCTTTGTGCTTTTCTTCTATAGGAAATTGGGGAAGTAGAAGTGCTGCACCAGCATATTTAATAAAACAAGGAATAAAATTCATGAAACAGAACTATCTTATCAGAGTAAGATAAAAGTAACTTATTAAAGCTTTATAGTCAGTATTTTCAAAGGCTACTGATGGGCCTAAGATTAAAAGAGACCATTTGCCATTCTCCATCTTTAAGGTGATTGTTTGCTATTATGATCGCTATTAGACAGGAACTAAAGTAAAAGCGAGAAAGTTTGAAGAATACAGGAAAGACCTAAGTTGTCTTTTGCCACTGGTAAAGTTTGAGATGACAGTAGTTTGAATAGGCAGTACACTGAAATGATGGATTTACAACTTCTAGCACTTGTCAAATATACTTCGAAGTAATAGAAGCATGTACTACAAGTCATTCTTCTTGATGGAAGAACTGAAAGAAGAGGGATAAATAATACCAAAAAAACCCCAAACATCAGCTTTTAAAATTATTCAAAACAAGAGAATCTTAAGTCATTAGGTAACCCATTACTTTTTAGGAAACAAATAAAACTAATTAATCACAATATTAAATTAAGTAGAAAGTCAGATTTAAGGCTGAGTGCGTAAGCCCACAGGAAAAGCATCAACAGGAGCCATTTTTAACCTAGCTGGTAATACTTTTTGTGGTTATGAATATGAATGCTCCTCAGTTGCTTACTTGAGAAACTATATTTATCAGAGCTCATTGACATGGAAGTAAGTTATGGTGACTTTAGAAGTAGAAAGGAGTATTTTTCTAACTGGAGGTCTAAAAAGCAAAGGATGGGATTTGAGATTAAACTTGAGTTTTGATTTGCTGCGATATTTATCACCAAGCTTTTCCCCCCCACACACACACTGTGGGTAATATGAGAGAGAATCAAATTCCATTCATTTTTGCATGTCTGTATTGTCCCTACACAATACTATAATGGCAGGGGGGAACACACACAGTATCAAATGTTAAGTATTAAAGCTCTAAATAAAAAGAACAGCTGTATTAAAAACGTGTAATTTTATACTTTTTTTTCACTACAGGTGCACTCTTAAATGAAAATACTATACTGATACTTCTGCTTTCTTCCCATACTAAGGGTTTTTTTTTCCTAAATGGATTAACTTTCAAATACAGATTTTTAAAATTTAATTTATTTTTTAAATCAAACCAGAAGTCTATGATCTACATATAGAAAAATGCATGCATAGATATATACAAAAGCAGAAATCCTATTATATTTGTCTTTGTTTAGTTTTTTACATAATACTGCTACTTATTTGATTCTATTTCTGTCACTTAAATGTTGACGTGTTTTAGCATACTGAAAAGGTACAGAGTAAGACCTCTTTTTATTGAAAAATTTTCTTTCATGCTTATTTACTTAAGGATCATGCTTCCTTTTGATATGAAAGGTAATTGTAAGTTTACAGAGCATTTCAATTACTTAATTGTGGGACTAATTGGTACTGATGTAGCTAACTGGCTTTGAGATTTGATAAAGTTGGTATTTATTTTTTATTTTATCTGGTGGTATAATCTTTTTTTTTTTTTTAGTGTTTAAACAACACTTACAATTGAAGTCTCCTCTTTGAGATAGTCTGCAGTAGAGAGGGGTGTAGCTTAGTTCAGGACTGTAACAATATTGCTTATGTAGCCTTCCCCACTTCTTGGGAGAAAATAAAACTCAGAGTTAACGAAGTTTGTATCTCACCAGTCAAACAGCTCCAGATATGTCTGCTTTTTTGTATTTATTCTTGCCTAGAAAGTTTATCTTTAAATGCTGTTAGTTGAGGCAGTGTCACAGGCAAGTTGCAAAACCAAACCTTTAAAAACAATTCAATTTCAGGAGAAACATTGAACAATTTTATGTTTATTCTTCAGAAAGGGTGGGGGAAGCAAGCCATTTGAAGGGAAGAAAGTAAATTATTCAAGTGATCAAAAGTTATATTATGAGCAAAGTGCAAATGTGACTTTAAGTTCAGATGTATAGTTGTCATGGGCATGGTGGGAAAGCTTCACATCCCTCAAGAACTTAGTATTTTCCAAAATGTTTGGTGTTTTATACTGAATTAGAAATTGTCTTTTCTGAAAAAAATCAATACATTGATGGGTATGTTACAGATTTGCAGAGAAGAGGCAATAGCTAATCATTGAATTGTCTCAAGCTGTAGCAATAATTCATGCCTCTGAAGATATTAAAGATGAGTTCGTGCTCTGAAAATGATGAATTTGGACTCTGCACTAGATAAAATGGTAGCAACCAGAGACGTACTCATTGTCACAAATAGATACTTTGTTTAGTGTGTTTGTAATTCTAGACAGAGCTGAAGGGATTGCATCGAACCTTATTATGGCGGTAACCTTGTGCCATTGCATTCTTCTCCTAGCACATGGCAAAAACTGTGATGCCGGGGGAAGATTATATGTGCCTTTCCCTCCTTCACAGTAAATCCGACTCCAAAAGAGCTATTGAACCAAGGAGAGATCTCTTTGCCCTAGGTCTTAGGAGAGTCTAAAGTGCATGCACTTTTGTAAGTTCCATCCATGTGGAGAAGGAACAGGGAGCGTTTCCGTATCCCTCCTTCTATTCTCACATCTACACTATTGTGGGGAAAATCTTAAAATAGAAGATGTTATTCCTAACATGAAAAGTCACTGCATACAGTTAAGGACTAGAATAATTTTTTGTAATATGTATTTTTATGTGTATATGTAAGATGTTGACCTGTTAATCGTAATTACTTAATGAGTAATGTTTGTGTCTCTGAACAGTTAAATTAGATTGGCATTCCTGTGATAGCATTCCTTTGCAGCTCTGTTCTGACATTGTTAATAGGATGATCACAGGAATTTGGCACTTGATAGAGGAAGAGGATGATTTCTCATTCAATAAATATATTTGTCAATCAGGTAATATTGGTAGTGATTGAAGTATTGATAGCAAATGGATGCTTACTTGTGATTACTGGACAATAGCTTACAGTTTATCTGATGTGCTCTCTGCGTGAAATAGAAGGGAACAAGTGAGTAAGTGGACTGTGGAAATAGATACATAAAAAAGTTAGGGAGTAAAGCATAAATATTTCTGAGCATTGGTAAAGATAGGATTCAAGTTGATCTTATGGTTAAGAAGTTTTCTTTATTTTGAGTTTTTCAAGGGCAATACATTAGTTAAAACTATGGATGTAAAAAATAGGAACATTGTTTACATTGTTCCTATAAGCAAGGCATTTTCAGTGCTGCTGTTCTGTGCAGAAAGCACAAACTCTTTTTTTGTAAAACACTTAATTCTGTGGGAGACTGTTGTGGGCCATTTGAGTCAAGTGGAGTTTTATTGTTCACATCAAAGTCTTAGCACTTTATTGTGACCAAAAAGGAATTGAAATATGTAATATACAGCTTCTTGAAGACGGCAGTTAAGACTTTTTATGGAATTAAAAAAAAGGTTTTTTAATCTCAGAAATCGGAAAGATGAGAAAAGTTATGTTGAGACTTCAAATTCTGATGTAATGTCCAATGCATTTAGTACTTAACCTAATCCTAAACCTTGTTGAAGGAGTTCAGTGATTCTTCCAAATCTCTGGGTAGTGTTAATTACAGAGTCAATATTAAATGGTAAAGAACATTGACACAGACTAAGTATCTTGCCCATGTTTTGTTTTCCTCACTTGAAATGAAGGCATTGAACCAGTTTCTCAGAGACAGTCTTTGAAAGCATTTAGTATTCTTCATTTTAATATGTGTGTCCAGTCTCTCTTTTAGAGGAAATTTCATATTATATTTTGTTTTAAATACTAAATTTAAAGACTAATTTTATTCCCATCAAAGTAGAATGATTTGTGGGAAGTGATTGGTCATGACAAACTATCCATTTTTCACTTGAATAGTACCTAATAAATGTGACCGAGGCTTAAAAAAAAAAAATTAGGAAAAGATTTAAATAACATACTTCTCTCAGCATCATAGAAATATAAATGGTTGTTTAAAAATTAATTCCTATCATATTTTGGATGCTACATATATTTTCAGCATGGCTACATAATACGAGCGTTTTTTGCATTAATAGTGAAATATGACATGCTAGCTATGCTGTTCTTAGGCAGTTCTATATTTTTTATTTGTAAATATCTTTTTTTAACCAGCTTGTGTTCTCCTTTATATATGCTGTATTCATGTTTAATAAAACCAGGCCTTAAAATATTCTTGACTGTTAAGCTCTAAAGTAATTTATTATTTTTTCTTAAAATTTTCTAATAATATGACTCAGTTATTTGCTTCCTTATGTTAGAAAGCAGAATACCTGGATTTACCCTGCTATCCTTGAAAAACTATAATATTCTTTGCCTACAGTATGCAATTACAAGTGTTAAATATGTCAAACAAATTAAAAGATATGTAAAAGGAATACTTTATAATGCAGGATATTGTATTTGGACTTGATTCATAAACTACTGTCTGTGTACAAACTAGTCTGACATAGCTCCTAAATACTTTGGGGCGAACAAAACCACTCAGCATATCACTTTAAATACAGATGCTAATACAACTATTCAGTGCAAGAAGAAAAGACTTGTTTCTGAAGTAAAATTAGACAATAGAGCCAATTTCATTTTTTATGCATGTGAATGTAGAGTGCTTGAGGTTATTAGTTGAAACTGAGTAACCTTTCCAGGCTTTCATCTCTTTCTTTTCAAATTTGAATATGAAAAGCATATTCAAGTCAAAGACCATCACTTTAATGACATTTGGCAGTCATTTGATTTAATAGATTTTAGAAAAAAAAAAAATTCCTTTAAATATTTCATCATTCTATGCTAATCCCAGTAATATTGCCAGCTGAAGCCATGTACCTGTATTAGTGGAGACAGAATGGTGTGGAATTTTCTCTGTCATCCTAGTAAAATTTCCATGAATCTACTGAATAATAAAACAACCTTATTGAAATATTCAGATTTGGGTTTTTAGTTAAAGTGTCTTAGGATACATAATAAAAGGAAATGTCTTTTGAAAGGAGGGGGTAAAATTACTTCATCAAATATTGAAAGGGCTTGACAGTAATGGAAATTGTTCTATATGATGGATATTTTTACAATAGGATACACCTGCTTTTCAGTTTGATTAATTATATAAAGTTATGAACTTGAAAAGAAAGAAGGAAAAAAAATTTTTTTGACATTTCTGAACTCCAGCGTGTTCTGTTTGCTCTTTGAAGAATCTCATCTTTGAATGCTCGCCTATGTACTCCAATTTTGAAACCATAGTGGCTTTTCTTTCTTTGAATTACAGAGTTACCTAGGGAAATATTTGTGACGCTGTCAAGTCTGACATTCCCACTTAAATACATAAAGCTTATTAAAATGTATCTGTACGTAAATAATATAGAGTTTGCCAAACACTATGAAACAATTTCATATAAGCAACAGGAAAATGTCATTTTAGTTAAAAATAATAAGAAAAGGCTCTGGTGAAGAACAATTGGGATATTACTTTTTTTATCATATTGTTAATTTAACTTTTAAATGTATATTTGATTTAACTAGAAAAGTTCAGTATATGAAGTTGAATTCCGTATAAATACTGTGTTACTTTACATGCCTAACTACTTTGTGACTTGATGGATTTTTATTTGAACTAATTGTAGTATAGGCTGCAGTAGGCACTGAGTAACAATTCTCTTTGATTTGAAAAACTTTGGTACCTAGTATTACTGAGACTATTTCAAGCAGTTACAGGATCAAGATACAAATCACTTTGCTGTGTAGCTGAAAATAATGGCAACTGAAATTTGTGGTTCAGATGTCATTTGTACATGGAGATAACCTTAACCTAATCTTCTCCAGCAGAGTATGACTGTTGCAAAAATATTTTCAACACTGAATGTAAATCAGTATCTGTTGCAATATTCTTAACTACAAACCCTGGGGCTTTAGAATCTCATTATGTCTGTCAAAATCAATCAATCAGTGTTAATCATACAAAATAGCCAATGATTTACATGTGTGTTCGGTTGGTTGGTTGGTGTTAACACTTCAGGAAACACAGAATAATTTGTATTATGTTTGTGCTTTGTTTTTTAAATAGGCAACTGAAAAAATCCGGATTGAAATTATATCGCTCACCCTTACTGAGTCACGAATTGCATCAGATGAAACAGTACAGCAGCTGTTTGTAGAATGCAGATTATACAATTTCCTTGCAGAGGAAACACCACTGTCACTTCCAAAACCAACAAGTGGTCAGAGGATTCACTATAACTATAGCAATGGTAAGTATTCCTGAGCAGACTTGTTTCTTCTCTTAAATTCTGTCTTATGAAAATGCCTGCCACTAAAGGCTACTTCCTCTATATATTATAGTTGCATTTATCTGTGTACCGATTGTACTTGTCTATTTCCCAAATATTTTGGGAAATATGAAAGGTTGTTTTTAAGGAATGAGGTAAGGATACAATCAATTTTCAAGTATAAAATGAATTATTGAACTAGGCTTGCATATGAAATGGTAACATTACAATATATTTGAATATGTTGCTAGCGCATAAATTTTAAAATTAGGCTATACATAACTGAAATTTATATATTCTCTTTAAAAGAACATGATGAACCGATTCCTCTATCGGTACATGATGATACAGCAGAAGAAAAACATTCCCTGTAACCATAGAATCATAGAATCATTGAGGTTGGAAAAGACCTCTAAGATCATTGAGTCCAACCGTCAACCCAACACCACCATGCCCACTAAACCATGTCCCTAAGCGCCTCATCTACACGTCTTTTAAATACCTCCAGGGATGGGGACTCAACCCCTTCCCTGGGCAGCCTGTTCCAATGTACACGTACAACTAAAATACAGTTGAAAAGAGAAAATATGTAATTGTACTTGATCATCACTTGGGAATACTCAGTGTTCCTTTAATAAGAACTTTTTGAAATAGGAAATTATTCAGCCATGTTTAATACTAATACATTGCTATTTACTTCATAATACTTAATCCTGCATGTTCCATATGCTATTATCTAATAAATGAACATTTGAAAATACTTTATGTCAATACACGATGTAATTTACACTAATAGCATACACAGAACTATTGTAATAATTGATAATTCTCTTGTGAATGATTTTCCCAGATATTTCATAGTATTTCAATTATTCATTAACTCTTTTTTTTCCTGTTAAAGTCTGTTTCATTTAAGATTCAGTCTGAGTGCTTCATGTTGTCTTGGACTTTAAGTACTGCACTTTCAGCTGAGAGTGTCCTGGAGCAGGTGAATCAGTTTGCTATTTGTGACACACCATTCATTAATTTGTGACACACCATTCAAATTAAGCATTCTTTTAAAAATAATTTTGTAAAAGTGGCTTTGCAAAAGTGGTGTCACAGTCAGACCTTTAAAATTGCTACCCTCTAGAAACCTGATTTTAGAAGGAGACTTGCCAAATAATTTATTCATTTGTATCCTCCTAATACTGATAAACTATTGGATTACCCCATAGTTGAAGACTGAAATCCCTCATAGATGTCACATCAACCATCACTATAGTGGGACGGCCCATTTGAGAGAGAATACAGCAGACAGGGCACAATGTGTTAACTTCTGTGACTCTGAGAAAGACAGTAATTTTTGTAAGGCTTTAGGAAAAAAAAAAAAAAACACAAAAACTAACAGCACTGCGAACTCCTTCATTCACTGAGGCTTACTTCCATTCAAACAAATGGGATTTCTGGCATCATGTACTAAATGAGACATCAGATAAGTAAGAACTCTTTTATGAGCTGAAAAATATTCATCTTGCTAGCTGCTGTAAACACTTTTCCAAATGTTCCAGACAGGCAGACATAATTGAAATAAATTTTTAAAACCTCATTGAAATAATACCATAAGCCAATAAAAGCTATTTAACACTCTTAATTTCTCTTGCTTCTTGAATTCTCATTGCTTTGAATATAAGAAGCATTCAGAAGGTATAAAAATTCTTACACGACATTCTGATTCCTGTGTATATTGGGTATGGTCTAAGCATAATATTAGTTTTTTAAGTATTGACTCTGCAAAGTTAAACTAACAAAATGCAGCAAAGTTACAGAATTAAAATTTCAGACTCTTAATTATGAAACTTAAATATATTTCAAGCTATGATATTTGAAAATAGTATTATGCTTTGTAGCGACTGCAACTCATAAGGCTTTCCAGTATGGTAGTGTTGTATCATATTATTTCTGCTAGTCAAAACCTGGCTCCATAACTTCGATTTTTCTATTTGCTGCCTAAGTATCGAATGTAGAACTGTTTAAACGCTAAAATATCCTAACAAATCAATATCAAAAGGTGGTTTTGGTCTTAATTGCTTCAAGACTGTATTCTGCAGCATAATACTAATGTGGTTGTTATCTGCAGAGTTTTGCTTAGATAATTAGTCATCTTATTTTAACTCAAGATTAGTTTTGCTTATGCGGGGGGGGGGGAACCTAATGAGTCTGCTTTTTGATAATGTCAGGTGGAAAGCCAGTAAGATAATAGTAATGAAATCTGCAAGTGTGTTTGCTATAGCTTTACTGCATCTCTTACTCATGTCTAATTAGATTTGAGTATGTTGAATATTTGAGGTTAATTGAATATTTTCTTCAATAAAAATGAGATTTGCATGGGTAGAAAGAAGTTTACTTTGAGCTTAGAAGGAAACTAATAGTCTTCTAGATTTTTGCATGGAGAAAATCAGGGTAAGTCCGTAAGTAATCTAAAAAATCATTAGTTCTTATAAATAAAGCATTTTATATTATATATAACTGGAACAGCTTGACAGTTTTAAAAACATCTTAACTGATACAGAAGGCTCCATGACATTCATTGCTTAAAAAACATTTGAAGTTTTTCCATCTCTTTTGCACATCCTTCACTGTCATTGCTTGACATGTAAGATACAGGAAGATTAACAGAATCTTGTTGAAAAACAATACAGTAGAACTCCATTGATCTGGACATACAAGATCCTATGAATTTCCTTTTTCACAAGTGGTTAGAGCATGTAACTTGACATTGATTGTTTATTTTGACTATGAGTTTTTGACTAGGAAGGGTTAGAAAATCATTTTCTTTCTTCCAAGGTCTTGGAACAGAAACTTGAATGGGAGGTTTATACACTCTAGGGTTATACCGCATAACTCTTGATTCCCCATGACATTAAGTGTTATATCTACTGATGGCCATACTGACTAAGGAGAGGAGCTGTTGTGTTCGTTAGTGGTGGAGTTATTAGAATATCCAAGAACGCTTCCAAACACTACAGTCCCATAAATTCAAAGAAAAGTGAAACTTGCCAAATTGTGCTCACACCATGACTTTGTCCTGTAATTTGGTAAAAAGGAAGAATTCTGATTTTTTTGATGGGGTTTGTTTTGGTATGCTTTGGTTTTGATGTTAGGGTGTGTTACAGATCATAGTAAGCAATGAATTCATATTTTAACTTTTTAATGCAGTTTAAAATTGTGTGCCAGAAATTATTTATTTCCAGTCATGTCACAATATATGCTTTAAAGTGAACGTAATGGCCGTTTCACTGTCAAAAAAACATAAGGAAACACGTTGCTTCAAGCAAACAAAGCCTGGTCTCCCTCACATATAAACGCATCTATTGATATTTGACTCTTAATTTGAGTAAAATAAATATTTTTCCTGTCAAGGCCACAATTACTTAAATTACAAAGCTAAGGTTAGTTCATAAATGTTATTAACAAAAAGCATTCATATTTTATTAAATATGAAGATTTAACTGTGAAAATGCTGAGATGGCAAGAAAGTTACTAGAAAGCAAGATTGATAGAAGGTCTGAAATGTATCTTTATCTCTGCATGCAATGGTTCTAGTGAACAGGCGGCAGAAGTAGAAGAAAGATTTATCGAAATTTTGCAAGGATTTTATATGAAATTTAGTCGGAAAGCTTTCTTGAGCAAACAGGTAGTTATTTGAACAACTTGAAGTACAAATGTAAGTAGACCAAATGAAGGGGAGGAGGGGGTTTATTTTTTGTTAAAAATAAACTTCTGAAGATCCATGTTCTAAAAGGTGGATTCCTGAGTATAACTCAAATGAAAATGTTAAGGCCTTGCATCACATAACATTGTTACACTTCTTTGTGTTTATTCCTTTTCTCCATTAAAGCTCAACACTGTGAGGCATTTTTTCTTCATCATTGTGATGAACTCTGCTTCATCACGTAGTCATTTAATTTTGTTAGAAAGTGAAATATGAAAAAAATATACTATAACAGAACCAGCTATGTTAATGTTTGGAATTGCAGTGATTTTTAACGAGATTCCAGGGTCATTGTAATCTTCAGGGTTTAGTGCTTCTTTAGGACAAATTTTAAAATTATAACTTTAGATGCAAACTGTCACAAGTTAATTTTGAATTATTTTTGTAATTAATTGGATAGAAATATGAGATGTTCTGTGCCTTGAAGCAATGTTATAATTCTAAGTTCAGGCCGTACTAAGGGGTGATATGAAAGCATGTTATTCATCAGGATCTAAAAATATATTTTCACTATGGTTAATCATTTTCCCCAGACTTGAATGGAATTTTTGTGCTGAATGTTTTACTTGCTAGTCTGCATTTTTCCGTTGAGTGAAATGAATTTGAACTCTTTAGGTTTGTAAATAATTTCCATTTAAAATTGTTTTAGATACAGAATTAGTAAACTTAGGAAATTCCATTTGGGATGCTTATGGGAAAGGGAAGAATCTGTTGATGTGGCAGCTCCTTTGAAGTTCTTTGGCTGTCCATCTGTCTCCCTGCTGCCTCCCCATTACTTCCTGTGGTGGCCCCAGGAGCACTTGGCCATGAGAGTAGCACATGTGGAAAGTCATCCACATGCCCAAAAGAATAGCAGATGGCAGTAACAGCCTCTTTTAACCTGTCTAACAAAGTAAGAATATTGTGGGTGGAAACTAAGGATTCCAAGATAGACCACCAATACCTTGCTTTCTGTTAGTAGAGAAAAAGGTGTTAAATTGCCGATTCCTTTGATTGAATGATTCAGATACCAATTGTATTGGCTGTTTTCTGAAAGTAACTAATTTCTAATAGCGATTCTGCTGGCCAGTTAAGAGCTGAGGAGCAGCTTTGGAGAAAACTGGAGAACCAGTAGCTCTGGAAGGTGTGCTTCCTAGGACTTTCTAGAGATATGTCCCTCAATAAATCCCTCTGCAAGGAATTAATTTGAACGTTCTTATCTCTCTTTCGTACCTCCTGTATTCCAATACTCTCTGCTCCTTGGTAGAATTGGTAATTTCTGTTTATATAAATAAGTTTATTTTGGATAGTAGAAGACAGTCTGAAATACTTTAAAGTTTTCTGTCAGCACATAGGAAAAGGAAACCTTAATGTGATGTGGAGAGTGGAAAAGACCTTTTTTGATTACAGTGGCAGAGTAACTAGAAGAGAGTGAATATTAAAGATGTTGGAATTTACAGACAGACAAATTTCCAGCTCCTCCTCCTGCCCTCAAATACAAATGAAAAATGTTCCTAAGAGCTATGTTTGTTTCTCAGAGGGTTATATTCATTCTAGTTCTGTCCTAGCAAAATTCTTTCAGCTGCATTTCTTACTTTAAGAAAAAAAAAAGTAATTCCTTTAACACTTTTTCAATTTTCGCATCCTGATTTTTTTTATAATCTTTCACAGTAGTTTACTGATACTTGTAGGCTGAAACCATTTGCAAGAAAGCAGCTACTTTCTTAATATAAGATGCCCAAAAACTTCTTAAAGAATTTCCTAAAAACCTATTTCTCATTCTTCTATTGTTTTTTTTCTAAACCAAGGCTATTTTTCACTGTAAGAAATATTAATGATACAAAAATTAAAAGCTGGTCCTTGTGTTTCTATTTTAAATTAAAACAATAAAAGGCTTTCAGAGCACTCACACACACTCCCCAGGCTGTGGATTTTCTCCAGTCCATTGGACTAGATGTTTCTCTTATTGAAATATTGTGGCAGGAAAGGAGGATTAAATTACTGAGGCTGTCAAAAAGGACAAGCACTCTGCCATACATTATCATTATCACTAGCTTCCTCAGTGGAAGAAAATGCAGTAAATCACTTCAAATACAAAGCAATAAAGACCACTGGCTTTTACAATCATGACTGCTATTGCCATTAACAGAAAATGACAGCTATGTGGCATGCTTAGATGCTGCTTGTATCCTTTTTGACAGTGTGCACATAAACCTGCCAGTGACATGCCATTAGATCACATGACCTTTCAAATTTGATTCCAACATTGTTGCTTTTCCTTAGGAAAGACAAGGGAAAAACTGTTTATTTTTCTTTGTTCTTTTCTTCATGCTCTTTCTTCTAAAAGATGAAAAACAATTGATAACTAATTATATTAATTCTGATTTGCTTTGCAGTGATACATGTGGATAAGGCAAATAATAGTGCAAGAAGAGAATATCTCAAGTCTATGCTTCTAAAGCCAGATCTACATACTGACAGGTACATATTAGTGCTGAAAAACTCTATAAAAGGTCTTTGTAAATAATGCTTATGGTTTGCCTTGTTGTTTGACTTTATTGAGGAGGTATCCCTGAGAAGTTAGTACATAAGTAAGTAACTAGAGAAAATTTTATTTCAGCTAGGAATGATACCTACATTCTGATGTCGTGATTGATCTACCTTTCTTCCCTGAGTAGGTTCATGTGGCATGGAATATATCAACCTCTCCTAATGTTGTTTTAGTGCTGGGTTTTTGTTTTGGTTTTTTTAACCACCTCGTTTTGCAAGAGAGATATTCTATCATCAGCATTCTATCAATAATGAATTTGAAAAGCACATATCTACCTGATGGTAGAGTAATACATCTGTTGCTTTCTGAATTCAGAGTACTAAAAGGAGTGTAACAGCTTCAGAAGGTGTTCCTTGGCCTTAGAATTTCCGAAAACCTATATATGTATTTTGATGTAGCAGGCAGCTATTATATGTATACATATGTCCAAGCTCATAATCATAAATTTGTTCGTATTCAAAATTTTTGATTGAGATAGCATATACATTACTTTGAGAGAATGAATGACATACTTTGATTCTGTTTCCTCTTGAAGGTCAATCTTCATTAAAATGGAACAACTATTAATTTAAAGATTCATTTAATTTGCAGAGGAGTAGAATACCTGCTGATTGTATTTGAAGTGTAGGAGTTACTTGTAAATCCTTTAAATATGTATTTATTCACAAATCACAGATTCACTCTGCAGTAAGAAAGAGAGTGATCTCTCTTCATTCCATTTCCCTTCTAAAGCTGAGTTTGATGTCTTGGCCAGAAAACAGGTTTTACTGGAATGGAGGAGGGAACACCATGAAATGATTACTTGTTGAGACGGAAATATCATACCAAAATATTCTTAGGTTTGGCGATTTAAAAAAAAAAAAAAAGTCTTCACTTAAAAAGCAAGCAGAAGACTTATTTTACCATCTAGATTAGGAAAGTGGGTAACGTTCTACTAAGAATTTAACAATACTGAGGACAAAATATTTTTTTTTTTTCTGAGGGATAATTAAGCGAAGGAAAACAGTTAGTCTGTAGGCTTCAATTTCACCTCTAAATACTTAGATATCTATACTAAATATTTAACAAACCTAAGGAAAAAATAAGGTAAAATAACAGCAGCGAGCTTTTTCCCACAACAAAAGCATTCATCTTTTACGTGTGCCATCATGGTACTGTCCTCTGTGTTACCAGGTAGGTTGTGTTCTGCATTTATCGGTGTGTCTAGTTTGGCCTGTGGTGAAATTTCAGTTCTGCATTGGCTAAATAGCAAGGCAGGAAGTTCATCAGTAGTCCAATTCCCCACTTTAGCCTAGCAAGAGGACCACCAAGACACAAAATTTATGGAAAGCTTCTGCCTATACACCAAATGTTTTCAAATCTATGCATTTTAAACGTGGCCTAGTTATATCTTCAACATATGTTTTCTATCACAAGCCTTACAAACTAATATCAGAGATTTTTCAGCTGAAACAGGAACTGAACTGAACTAATGCTTTAAAGCTCAGGAAACCAAATTATCAAGAATATAAACATCATTGAAAATTGCCTGCACATGGTTTAGCCTGACACTTTATTGGTGTTTGTGCTATGCCAGATTATAGGAGAATAGATAGTGTTTTATGCATATTAAGTGCTGTATTAAGTTTTCAGGTGAACTTTCTCCCTGTCACAATTAATGTTGTTAGAAATGATACTCATAATGATTGGGTCCATATTAGAACATAAATAAATAGATACATCACGTGCTATTTTTGTCTTCCAAAAGGAGAGTCACATTAATGAATGTCCCTTGAAAAAGATAAATATTCTCAGGTGTTAAGAGTTATTAATATAATACATAAAATTACTGCTAAGCCAAAGTTGCAACTATAGCCTAATCCTATAGTTGAAATAGGAGCTAGCTTTGCCCTGAAAATAATGAATTTCACAGCTTTATACTCTTTTAGTTTATACCTACAAATAAATGTAGATTGATATGGCATTTATACGGGAAACTATGTTTATTTGTTGGGAGTGGGGTTTACTATTCATTAAAAGATAAGATTTCAAAACAAAGTTGATTTTTCTTTTCTTTCAATTTCATTTCTTGATGTGGAATCATTGTCACTGTTTATTAGAAATGCTGATTTTAGCTCCGCATTTGAATAAATGGCTTTAGTAGCGGAAAATGCAAAAATATTCAGTATTCAAGAAAATCAAGAAAATATGCTGCTAAATAGAATGATATAAAATCTAAAATATATGAGCATGAGGTAGTAGAAGACTAGGAAGACTGTTTGAAATCCTATTTAGGTTAGTATTTGTTGCATACCGCAAAGATGGTTCTTCTCTTTTGACAAGCATCTTTGTCTTTATCTATGTTTTTGGACAGAGAATGTCTGTATCATTAATATGGAAATTTTGCCAGACTACTTGCCTTTTCTTATAGCTGTATTGTGTGACATGGGTAGACTTTTTGTTTTGTTTCTTTTTCTGTATAATAGGGATTCAAATTACGTTCTTAATTTATGTTAGGAAGCTATACTTACTAATATTTGTAAAAAGGGGGGAGGGAGGGGGGAATACGGAATTATTATTTTATTTTATCATCTGAACCCAATAGTTATTTACTTACAAGTTTGAGTGTTTAATTGGTTAATAACAGGAGGCATTTCTGGCAGTCCAGTTAACTTACTGTAACTGTGTCATAGTTATCTTTTATTCTTCATCCTGTTTGTATTCCACTGTTGCCTTTCAGCGTTTTAAGAGCGTAGAAATTTGGGTCATATAGAGAAACTTGATTCCTCATGCCAGCTCGTACTTGCAGTGCTTGCAGACCTGGCGATAGAGTATATGCTCTTCTGACAAGTGTCAAAAGAGACATATGTGAAGAATGGAGGAATCCATTCTTCTAACAGTCACCCTGCTGTGATAACAAGAGTGAACAGGTTTATGCAAGAGGTTTCCAGGCTGATCCTGACAGGTGCATCATTTCTTGGTACGAAATGATTGTTACTCCAAGAAACTGACTATATGAAGTCACTGTTCTCCAAAGTAACAAAATCTATGCATCCACATTATAGGAGTATAGAACACGTGTACCGTGTTAGCTTCACATTAATATACTATATTAACACACAAGGTTTTCTCCTTGCTGCTTAAAAATGACTGATCTTTGGAATAAAGAATTAGAATCAAATTTGTCTACATCACAGCTTTGTCCAGGCACTCTAAATTTCCTGCTGGTGGTAACACCTTTAAGTGTTATCATAACAACAACAACAAAATTTTTTTTCCAGGTTTTTCTGCTTCATTGTAAAGCATGTTTTAAGCTTAAGGCAATTATTATCTTTTACTTTTCTTTTGGGCCTTTATTAGCAGACAAGTTTCATTTAGTTCTCTAGTCTTTCTTGCAGTGGCTAGCAAATATCTTCCCACACATTACTTTTAACAGGATGTCAAGATTTCTTCTCATTCTGTCAGTAGGCACGGGATTCCTGCAAGGAAGTGAGTACTGATACCTGGTGTTATAGAAAAGAAATGTGGAAATGAGCTAGAGAGAAAGTCTAGGATCCTAGAGAGAAGTACGGGAGGGGAACGCTATACATAGCTTTATTTACGTAGGAAATCCTAGTATGAATTTGATATTCCAACTTCCATCAAAGTTTCTTACGTAAGTGAAGCAGTGTTAAGGTAAGATGGGACACTACCTGCATATTTGTGCATTCTATGCTGAAGCAGAGTGAGGAGTCTGTTCATGTGCAGTATGTTCCAAGGCAATGTAAACTGTGTCTTTTTAGCCAGTTCAACTTGAAAAGAAAATTCTTGCAATTTTTGGTAAATGAAGAAAACAAGTTAAAGCATACTGAATATCATATTTAAATATTTTCTAAACTTAAAGCATTTGTAATATTTTTAAAAAATACAAAAGTCAAAGTGATTGTGGTACCATTCTTGCAGTCTACTAGTTGGAGTATTCCCATGGGATCCAGAGTTCAAATCTCCTCCTTCCTGATTAGCAGCAAAGATTTAATCCAAGATTATGATCTTTTAGGCATATTGGAACTATAAGGTGTTAGAGGTGCAGTTCTTTTGATCTGTTTTGTTGAAGCTTGCTCTATTCATGTAAAATACTTGCATATGATCTGAACCAGAAAGTGGACCAGTATGAACGACTCTCCACTTTGGCTATAAGGTACTGTCCCAAACGTTACTAGGCCTGCTTTTAGTTTATGCTTTAGTGAAAATTTTAGTAGTACTTGGTACCCTTAAGTGATAAAAATTAACCCAGCACTAATCTCCTCATCTTCTATCACTGTCTTAACTGCTAAGCTGGTTTCTCTAATTGATTTAACATTGACACTGAATCATAACAAAACAGATCTCTTCCCAATACCCAACAGTTTTATCAATTATTCTTACAATTTTTAATTTGTTTTTATTTCATTTAATATTTATCTTACACACCTAAGTATCTCTTTCTTTTTGACTGAGTTTTCGCAATTTTGCTGCTACTTAGCCCTGTGCCAAAATCTTAAGTTAGATCCATTATACTCAACCAAGCCACCTGCTGTTGGAAATACCTGTGATATTTTTCCTTTTTTGCCTCCAGAAATTTTTTTTAAAGACACATATTTTCAATAGGTGTCTGGCTTTAATGACAAACAAATACTTATGTGTATATTTTCTATAATAAATATTTGTTACTAAGAGCCAAGCACAAAAATAAACTACTATAAAAGCATATTGCAGTTGTTGTTATGTTTGAAGTCGTTTAGGAAGATTTGATTATATTTTGTCTAAGATATCCTTTCCTGTAGACTTGGATTTTATGCAACTTGATTGCTACTCATTTGGAATTGTGCTTATTGTAACATTTTTAGGCTGTAAAGCTCACAAGCATTCACAGTTTAAGCAACATTGCCAAGACATACCAAAAAAAGTAGTTAGCTCTGAATTCCTGTCATTTTGTCAGTCTCAGTGTTTTTGGCCCCAACACAAGCCACTAACTCAAGTCAGCTCCAGCACAATGCTGGAATTATGTGTTTAAAAGAAAAGCCGTACTTGGATACAATGAGTGTAATTTAAGTTCACAGAAGAAATGCAAATATTTTGTATAGTTGTTGGGCTCAGATGTTTGGGATGGACAAACAGGCTGTGTTTAGACAGCACGGTAAATACTCAAAGGCCTTTGCATCCAGGCTGTACTCGTGGGTAGTTTTTTATGTGTAAAACAGGAACAGAATAATGAAGATAAAATATGAGATGTATTGGTCAAAGGGAACAAGTGTGGGACAAATTGCTGTGTAAGGTCCAATTTTAAATAATGAATACACAAGACAACGTTAGAAAGATACTATTTTGAGAGAGCTGCTTTTAGGTTCCTGTTATTTTTGTGGAATATGTTCTTGGCTAGAATATGCTCTCCAAGTATCTAAATGAGGTGTGAAAATTCTCAGTAACTTTCAGCTAAATATTTTACACTTGGTGTTTGGAAATACTTGCTTCATTGCATATGGCTAATATTTCTGATATCAGGAAAACGTTTGATATGGTTTGTCTTTCTCAATTATTTACCTCATGTCTGCCACACCACTCAATGTAAAGCCAAGAAAATGCATGGCTTAAAATTTACCAAGGCTAGATCTAAAATATCAAGTGGTGCAGACCACAGAATCTCTAGCACAAAGCAGTTGTTGCTAATGGTCTGATATTCACAGTACATAGATTTTTAGGATAATTTTGAGAATTCAGAATACTAGTTGATCCTACTGACTAAATGTCTATTGCAGTGGAGTGCATTAGGGATAGGTGCTCCTGGAGCACATCTTCAGTTTAGTTTAGTCCAGTCCAACAGGAATCCAATTAATGTGTTCCAAGGCTACTATGCAAATAAAGCACCATAACTGGGGACAACTGAAAAGTTTTACTTCATAAGCACGCTCCACATCAAAGCTGAAATAATCATACAGGTTCATCTTATGTGGCCTGACTGAAATAAAGTCGTTGAATTTTTTTTAACAAGTTTATGGTATTAAAAGGTTTTAACCAACAAAACATAATTACATTTAATCTAAACCTTCCATTATTGCTTATGAATTGTTTTTATTTCTTCACATCAAATAATTTCCGTGGTATGGTTAACACAGTAAAAATTAAAACAAAAAAAACAAATAAACCCAGAAAAAAAAACCCTAACTATATTTTCAGATATTTTATATAAATGACTTTTGCTATAAAAGCCTCAAAGTACATAGCTACAGTCTTGATTTTTACCTATGAGGGCTAAATAGAAAGAAATTAAGTGACTTGAACAGTTGATTCACCAGCTGAGCTAAACAAACTTACAAGTTTCAAATGTGAAAGTCTTTAATCCTTAGACTATTCTGCCTGTCACTGCCATATGAACAAGAATTGTGCCACAGGGTGGTGGGGAGGGGGGAGAAAAATGAAACAATTCTGTAAGTCTGCAGATCTGCGGTTACAACCTCTCTGTCCTTCTAGTACTGCTAAATAATGCTAAAGAAGGAGGGAAGATTTTAAAAAAAAAAAAGGGTCTCAGACTATTTTTGTCATGGAAAATGTTGAATATAATTGATAAAGAGTTCTGGTTTATGCTTAAGTGGTAAAATAGAGCGTGGTTTTTGCCTTTGTTTTTTCTGGTTTTTTAGTTACTTTTCAACCCTTTTTAAAGGTGGTTTGTTTTGGTTTGTTTTTTTTTTAATGCTTAGCCTACGATTTACAGTGGTCAGTGATCCCCCAGAAGATGAACAGGATCTTGAATGTGAAGATATTGGTTTCGCTTATGTCAGTTTGAGAGAAATATTCCAGAAGCAAAGAGATATCATTGAGCAAGATACTGACAGTAAGTTGTAGAGATTACTTTCTTGTAACCTTTGGTAACTTAAAAATTATTTGTTGAATTTCTGCTTTTCCCTGCAAGCTTTACAGTGCAAGTAGTTGTTTAAAATTGCTTCAGTAAGAAATTCTTTAATATTAACTAATGGCTTCCACATTTGTTTGCAAAAGTCTGCAAAAACTGTGTACTATTGTTATTCCTTAAAATCTGTTTTAAAAAAACCCAAAACCAAACTGTTTTCCCAGCTCATAGTAATTAGTTTATAAAACCTAGGGACTTTCAGGACATGTCCACTCACTATAATTCTCTATTTTGTACAACATACTTCATGCTAGTAAGACTATAAATATATATTTTCTTTTTAAAATTTATGCCAGTAATTCTGTATTGCTAATGTCTATATCTTATTTGAAGTTAAGTTATAACCTCCAGAGTACCTCCAGCTTGTGTCCTCCATATGAAACCTGTATCTGAGACAATATGAAATACTGGTGGCTTTGGTTAGGTATCAGTTTAGAGTAAGCATCCTTCTGTAACAGACCAAACTTTCACTGTGACTCATTAAAGCAAGGTGAGGTGAGTAGGACGTGTGGAATCTTCCGTTTCCTGGGTCTTATGACAGCATTTTTATAGTGCTGATAAGAAGACTTGAGAAGGCTACTCAGTCCTTTCATAGACAGTGAAGGAAAATATTCTCCTTGCTTAGACTCTCCTGTTCCCCAAGGTAGCAGGGACATGGTTATCAATGGTGCATTTTTCTCCTTACCTGTTCCTCTCCATCCTCTTTCCCCATTGTGGTAAAGCTCAGTGAAGAAGCTGAGACAATACTTGTTATAAAAGTTACTCTCCTATAACGGTAAGTGAACCAGCTTGATTACTAGACGCAGTGTGCCCATGTTCACAAGGTACTCTTTGCAATAGCAAAAATTCTAGTTAGCCCTAGTAGGATGCCAAGCTAATGTGACTTTGCTACTTCTACTGCTGTGTCTAATTACCATACCTTGAGTGATGGGGAGCTGAGTAGTGAGCCTTTCTTATCCATTTCCATTATCATGCATGATTTGCATCCATGCTGTAGCTAAAATACTCAAAGTATGCATCAAAGTTCCAGGAACACGATAAGGAAAATTCTAAGAAGAATCAAATTTCCATACCTTGGAGAAATAATATACAGATTTGATGCACTTCTTACTGTGGCTGAACCACTTAATCTTTTCTCCACCAATAATTTTTCTCCAAGTAGTTGTACAAAAGCACATCTCCTCCAAAAAGGTATTTCATAGTCTCTCACTGGAAAATTGTTTTTGTTCTGGATTTTATGGCCATAATTCCGACTGTCATAATTCCCATTTTGTCATAATTCCCATTTGATAAGATTGTTTAGTGATATAAATATAATTTTGTACCCTTGAAAGTCACCTTCCACAAAACTTTTAAAACTCCTAATCGTCATCTGAGATAATGCTGATGACAGGAAGGACTGGTTTTTGTTACTAGTTGTTGTTCTGTCAAAAGAAAATGATTACTACGTAATGACAGCTACTTCAATATTGTGAGGAGCATTTCTTCCCCTAATCATAAGACATTCGAGCTAATTTTTACTCTATGTACATTATATCTATGAAAGTTATAGTAATAGATAGAAATACTTTTATTCTTATTCCTATCCACACTTCTCCCCTTCCCTGCAGATGCTGTACAGTTTAGATTTTTTTTTTTTGCATCCATAACCCTATTTTCTGAAAACTTAGAACTTTCAGAGAATTGAAATGAATTTTATGTTAATATATGTCAGATCATGGCAAAAGTAGAATATATCAGTATGTTTTCTTGGATTAAGTAATTGTAAAAGGATCTGTTCTTAAGATCTGGACACAGACTTCAATTAAATGTAATGGCACAATAAACAGAATTCCTAAATAATATTGTACACATTCTCTGAGGTGGATATTGGTTTGAGGGAAAAAGAATAAACCTAGAAACAGGGAAATTCATAGGAGGCTACCACATGAAGATCTAATCATTCTTAAGTTAGATACCATAAACTTCCTTCATTCTTTTTGAGGACTGCAAGCATACATCTTTTTCATATCTTGTTCCATTCATTGCTCCTTCATTCTTTTTGAGGACTGCAAGCATATATCTTTTTCATATCTTGTTCCTTTCATTGAAGATTTGTGTGAAAGTGGCCTACGTGAAATTTGAAGCAATTAAGTGAATGGCTAAGCAAGAGGCTGGATGAAAAAGAGTATAGACAAGACATATAACAATATGTCTCAGAGATAATATGACAATATTAAAACTGAGAAAATAGAATTAATGTTATCTTCTGATATCATTAATTGCAGTTATCTTACCGTTCTTATAAGTAAAAAAAATAATGTCCCCTGAAGTCTGCTCTTTAAGTTGACAGTTCACTGAGTGATTTGTCCGAGGACATACAAAATGGTTTGGATCTCTGAGAATAGCATCCAATCTGTCCTATAATAGCTCTATCAACAAAGTAAATGATGGAAGGTTTATCCCATGTTTTTCCTTCTCCAGACCTCTTCTGAGCTGTCCCAGCAACCTAGAATTTGTATCATGCAGTATCATTGCATGTCCCAGAGTACTTACCCCAGTTTATATAGTAAATACATAACCTTGCCATTTGTTTGCTGTATAATTCGCTTTGAAAAGATGTGCTGTCAAGATTATTTGTTTCTATCCAAATTCCTTCTAGAGTCATGTTAGGCAGCCTCATTGCTTTTTATGCAGGACTGGGAAAGAGCCTCATTTTTGACTGTTAGCAGCATGTTTTTAATCATAGCAGCAGAGATTGTGGCCCTCTGGTCTTACTTAGATATTGTAAAAGAGTGCAATTTTAAATCATGTTAGCTAATTTCTGTAAAATAGAAATTTTAAATACTGCTTTAAAACCCACATACACAAAGATGAAGGTAGTTAAATAGTTTAGTCTAGGGGAAATACCACCTTGGTCTACACTGCACTATTTTACAACACATAGAAGCCTGGAATTAAAATAACTTTGCATTGCACCAACGGGAAAAAAACAATCTACTGTTTAAATACTAATAACTGTCCAGGCTGATTTGGACCGATCATACACACAGTGTAGAAAATGGACTAATTGGTATATTTTTTACTTAAAACTATTTGTAAGTATGCATATATGTCTTTAACAGAGTTTGGAACATCTATATTTACATATTGTGAAAAATAATTAATTTATATAGGCAATTATCATACAGATAGTTTTCTTTATTTCAAAGTTAATTCCAACACTAATACTTTTATTGATGTACGTTCTAGTTCTTAGAGTACTCGGTTTCCAGTAGGCTGAGTGCCTGAACCAGACGATTTCTTTTTTATTTATTTGTTTATTCTCCTTTTTAAGCATATGCTAGGTGCCTTTTAATCTGTCCAAATGCTAAGGCAAATTATCAGAACAAAAGCAAAACCTTAAATGAAATAGCTAATGCTGTTTTCTGATGTTTCCTTTCTAGTTTTCGATTCACAAGATGATAGTGCAGTAATTGGAAAGCTCAAAGTAACAGTGGAAGCCCTCCATGCGCTGCGTTCAGTCTATGAGGAATGCAAAGATGACTAGGAGGCATGAAAGGGAAGTTTGCCTACAGAAGTTCCTTCTCCCAGTGTAAATACATGCTTGATAGTGCTTCAAAGATGAGATCTTTGTAATTCTTACAGTATATTTAATGTATAATTTATATGAAAAGGACGCTTGATTTGTAGTTGTAAAGTTTTGTATACTTTTCAGTCTGTTTGTTTTTATATTTCCCCCCTAAGGCTAAGAATCTCTCCACAATGGACAACTTCTTGTAAATAATTAATACCTACATGATTGAATGATGTGCTTTATTTGCATTTTCAAGATTTTTTCGTACATAAAACAGTAATAAAAATGCAAGTCAAATTTTTAATTTTTAATAAAAACTATAAGCCTTAGAAAACTGATTAAAAATACTTTTATGTTATCCCTAATCACCCCACTAAATGGAATGCCTGTGATTAGCCTCATTAAGAATTTTATACTGTGAAGATTTTATTAAAAGCAATATATGAAAATTACTTGGATTAATGTGTTAATCTGCCTCTTTAAAATGCTAATATCCATTTTATGCACATTAAATCTCAGTATGTGTTTTCTTTGATGCATGCAGCTGCTATCAATTAAATATAAAAAATGAGGCTAGTTGCAGGACTTATTAAATTACTGCAATCTTATTTTAAATAACTTTTACCCTTCTACTAACATTATAATCAGCTGTTTATGATTATCATGATTTGAAGTAGGGGGAGGGCAGGCACTATCATTTTTCTGTACAGTAAAAGATTTACTTTCAGCCAACATCTGTCAAAGCACAAAAAGAAGCCATACAGTATCAGATTTTGCTTCACCTAGTTTGAGCTGTAGGGACAGGCAACTGTGTTTTCATTTGGGGTTTGACACTTTTAGAACTTATATCTAACACATACAATGAATCGTTGTATCTGAATAACCAGTGTCTAGCTTGGAAAGTTAATTTTCCAGCTTTTAACCAATCTCAGTGAAGGATTTAATTGATATTTTTAATGGAGCTGTGAGTCAATGCTGCAAAAGGATTGTCTCTTGAGAACGAGGATATAATACATTTCATTTTTTAATTTACTTTTTTATTTGTCATTTTCTTCAAAGGGTTTTATAGGTTGTGGATTTCCACTGTTTGCAAACAGGCTATGTTTCTTCATAAGCATATGTAAAGTATTCAGAGAGATAAGTAATTTATTAAAATCTACCTAATTTGCCGTGATATATTAAATCTCTGCTTCAGTGATCACAGACCATTTCATTTAGAGAATTAGGCATTCCCTCTTTGTGTGATTAAAGCTCTGGAAAATGAGTTCTTTGCTCCTATTTGTGAACACTCAAAGCCTGCTAATGGCAAGAAGATGGAATAGATTATGAGACAATTCATTACAGTTCAACAGAAAAAAAAACCCAGCTATAATGCAGAAATGCAAGTATGAATATCTGCATATAGTTTGAACCATCTGTGCTCTAATGGCTTCAATAATGGCTCTTCGCCTTCAGTAGGCTTTGAAATGACATCCATACAATATTAATTTGTTGATGTACATTATGGGGCCAATGGAATGAATATATTCTGACCACAGAAATCTCTGAATTCCAACATGATCTGATGGTTGACTCCATTTTAGGACCTACCATCTTCAGTAGTACTTCTCATCCAGACTTTGCCAATCCTCGCAGCATTTCATTCCTCTGGAACTTTTAGGAGACCACAGACAGCTGCATTCCTAAACCCCTCCATTCTTCAGTTAATGGCCATATGTTTGTTGTGATTTGGGCTGGCGCTTAGTTCAGTTTGGCCACTATTTCTAGCTTTTTTTGGCTCTGTGCATCTATATTGTCAATAAGACTGTTATTATACATTACAATAATTTGAAACAGCTAGATTCAACACTGAGATTAACTGAGTGGCTTTTTAGAAATTTAGTTGCGGTATTCTGTCAGGAGGTTCTTGTTATTCTTCTAATACTTTGCAAACCAAACTAAATATCCTGCACATAAACAAAGAAGCAAATTGTATTGAGTTTTCGTGTGTGACTGTTTACTGACTTGCAGGAGAACTATGTAACTGGTGCTTGTTTTCTTCTGAAATAAACCATGTGGTAAAATTAGAAAATCAGTGATGTTCATCTCACTTAAACGTTTACAGTAACACCCTTAGCACTTAATCTTCGCCATCTGAAGTTGAAAATTTAGAAACCAAGCGTTCATATATTCATGAAACACAGACCTCTTCAGTAAGTTACTGCAAAATATTCCAATTGACATTTGGTTACATTGTGTTAACTGTTCTCAGTGACTCCAACATTAACATGTATAATTTGCCTCAGGTTCCTAAACATATTTCTGTGTAAGGCTCACTGTTACTCAGTTTTGGATTTTTTTTGGATTTTTTTTAAAAAAAAAAAAAAATCTTGATTTCTAGTCATCTTTATTACTAAGAGATATAGTGAGGATTTTTCCAACAGATGGATTGTATTATCTCATGCAACATAAACATACGAACATACTAGAAAGTTTTGTTCTTGCATTAAGTAGTCTGTATTTCCAACATGCTCTTAAATCCTAAGTCTAAATGCTGCACTGTGCAGGGAAAGTGGAAAATGTAATCTAGTACTATTTTGTCCAGATTTTAGCTATGAGTAGCTTGAAGAAAACTTACATCTATGTACTTTCTAGCCTAAGGCAAAAAATATCCTTATTTTTTGTGTGCAATACGTTAGTAAGCACAATCCTTTTTGCATTTTAAAAAAAGAGCCCTATTAATGCTGGGTACTACCATATTTTAAAATGTTACTTAATTAAAATTAATTTTTGTGGAATAGGTAAATTTTTTTCTATGGTGTAACTTAGATGCAACAGCGGTCCTGCATAAGATGAATTGGGCAGGGTCAGATGATCAGTTTTGTTATTTTGTATCTTTTCCCATTAATTGTTACAGCTTATAGCTTTGCTGTGATACCTTCTTATGTGATACAATAGGTGCTATTCTCCCGGTGTCCCAGGTATGTTTATCAAGATGAAAACTTAAGTTTAGCTCAAAATACTTTTTTTTTTTTTTTTTTTTTTAATGTTGCTTTTAACCTGTTATAACCTTAACCTAGGGATGGAAGTTATAAAAGCAAATACATTATGAACCAAGGTAACATCTGTGTGAACTCAATCAATTTCGCTGTACCATAAGTCGCAGCTTATCTCATTATATGCTTATATAAGTAGATATAACATGACAAAAAATTATAATAACTTGCCTCACAGAACTTTTACAACTGAAGATCAGTATTTAAGTTAATAGTAATATTGTTTTAAAAATCTTTTTATTATTTCAAGGCATAGTAAGACATTATCATAACTCAAGAAGTCACCAAAGATATCAAGACTAAATATTAGCTGTTAAATTTCATTTTCTTGTTTTGTATTAGAACTGAGAAATAAATTCAAATACAGACTTAAAATTGTGCAACAAACTTTATTGCATGTTTCAGAGCCAGAGAAATATTTTTATGTTGCAGTGAGATAGACAGGTCTTTTTGCAGGTGATGATAATGATTTATCCATCAGTTTTTCGAGATATTCCACAAGAGAATATTTTTTTTTTTAGTTAGATTTCCTTAACATTACTGTTTATGATCTAGGTCTTAGTAATTGGACTAGATCCCAATCCTGCAACTAATACTGAATTGAAGGCATTATGTTACCTGTATGAAATTAATTGCAGAATATAAGTTTAAGTTGATACCTTTGTATGTATGTGATAAAAATTTGCTTTTGGCACAGTATGCTACAGGTGTACTGCTCTGTGCTTTTCGTTAGTTCCTTAGTTAGTATTGCTGACAAATTTTAATTCTCTTTGCATCTTTTAAAATGGGATGAGGTAACTTTTGAAGAAATTGATTTCATCAGAATAATTTATCAAGGGAAGAATTTGACCTATGTTTTGTTTCTGATTGTAGTATAATCTTAGCACTTGCAGGACATGACCTTGAAAGTCACATATAACATAGAGACTTTGGTCTTAATTCGTAAGCACCAAAATCCATCTAAATCGTGCATCTGTGGGCTTTAGGTATTTAAAAGCTTTTCTTATTTCTAAGGTCCTTGCTGAATCATACTCCAAGGTCTAACTCAGTCCTAGCAAAGTTTCATTTCAAACGAAAGCTGCTTATAAATTATCAGATACCATGAGGATATTTTGTCTAAGAAAATAAGCGATTACGAACCTTCAAACAGAAATGCTTATAAGTTCTTAATAGTAGTAGTTCTACCACAATACTATATCAGGATAGGATCATTCAGGTTAGAAGGGACTCAGGTGGTCTCTAGTCCAATCTGCTGCAGGATTAGCTATAATGTTAGACCACGTTGCTCAAGGCTGTATCCAACCTGGTCTTGAAAACCTCCAAGGATGGAGACTGCATAACTTCTTTGAGCAACCTGTTCCAATGCCTGGCTGTTGTCATGGTGAAAAAAGGAGATAGATTTCTACACATTACTTCAATCCAAATTGAAGCCAAATCTAGATCTAAGCACGTGAAAACAGCTTTTGCACTTAATATACCATCTAATCACCTAATTTTTACTTTTTTTTTTAATTCTATGGATGGCATAAGCATGACTTTGTTTGTCATTTGTTTCAGCCATTTAACATTTTGCACAGAAATCAAAAAACTAGGCATTTTAATGTTGACTTTCATGCCTACTACATTACAGTAGGCCATCAGATTTCCATCCAGTTTTGTGAAGCAATTGACAAAAAATAGCTATGTTATTGTTAACAATGTGGTTTGCTCAGATAATTTTTCTGTAGATTTCAGTAGTAACATGTTTTCCAATTTACTGTGGTTTATTCCTGGTTTTGTTATACTAGGCTTAGATTATTTTAAGAGTAAGAAAACAAACAAATAAATCAAACAAGACCAGGCTCACATTGAAATTACATTCTTCATGACCTTCGTTCGTGAATTCTTAACACATTTTAGGTTTACAAAGAAACTGTTCCCTGAGCTGTGAGAAACAGGGATATAAACCTGGTGGAACCTCTGTCCACACCCATTCTCTGTATCAAAATATATCTTACTTCAGCAGTCCAACATCAATAGCTGCAACAGTGCAAGACAGGTCTTGCACATGATCTAGCAATGACTTGTTTAACATTTTTGTGGATTTGGAAAATAATCTATTTTCTATTTAGACAAACTGTCATTCTTGTTGAATGCAAAATTATTTCCTTATGCGTTAAAGCTGCAAGAACTGAACTTTCCTTGAAAAACCATTGGGAAAAAAAAAGTCTTTTTACTAAAAAAAAAAAAAAAAAAGTTAATTTTCTTTTGCTTGAAGAACGATCATGCAACCAGTGATTATTCTGATTACCTACTCATAAGTATAAATAGCTACAATAGCTGATAACCTTTGACTTCAATGATAGTGAAAAACCAAAAATGTTTTACCATATATAGGGCAATTTTCCCAGAGAAATGAAAGGAGGAAACACCGATCAGCATCTGACTCCAAACACACAGTACACAAACAGTAAATAAAACACAGCAAACTTAAGAAGAGAACATACAGAAAATCTTTCTACATTTTGAAACCATTCTTTATCCTTCTTTCCTCTGTAATAAGCAGTTATTGTAGTATACCAAAACCAGAGCCATTTGGAAACTTTCCAACAGGTTGGTAATATCAAATAATTTACATCTTGGATGAAATACACAAAAGTGGAACTATTTATAAAGCAGTATCAGTTGTGTATCAGCATACAGTAAATATAACCTGAGCAAGAATATATGTGGTTTTTTTTGTAGCCTATGTTTGTCAAACAAGTTAGTGTAACTTGTAATCTATTTTAGAATGGAATTTACGGTTATCTACTCAAAGTCTTTAGTAACAGAGCTTTTCACGGAAGTTTGTGAGAGTAATGAGGGATTACATTTCCACCCACAACATCAGACAAATAGGACAGGGGTCTGTAACATAGCCCCTGTACAGCTGTAAATGGATCCTACAGCAGCATACGTGTTGTGGAAAGCACTGATTGCTGTAGCTTTGCTAAATCTTTCTTCAGTATCTTCTGTCTTTGAGTTGGCCTGTTTAGGGAGAGCACAGAAGTTGACTGTTATGAAGTCTGTAGGGTGCGAGACATGCTGTTTCTCCATTTTCATCATTCTCTGGGGGACAGTCTCCCTACAGCAGGTAAGTGGAAGGAATACTTCTCTACTAAAGGTGAGTTTTGTTTTTAAAATCAACTTATAGAAAGGCTTTGGGAAAAATTGACAAGAACTCCTTAGATGCTATAAATCAAAATACTTTCTGTGCTTGACTTGCACGTCAGTAAGTGGGAAGTCCACATCCTATCAGGCCCGTAATCGTAATTCTTGCACTTGGTTGATTGTAAATTTTGATGGACTTTCGGCAAGTTGCAATGGCGACAGAAAAAAACAGAGCGCGAAAGATGTAGAGCAAAGAGATTAAGCTCTTGGGGTATGGAATTACTTTATAGTTAAGAGGGCAACAGATTGGGA